ATAATGTATCCTAACGTCAGCGTCTTTGCTTCACCTATTGGTCCACTAGAGCTTGCTTAGTTCTCTCCCAAAGCTCTAAAATGGTGATTCTATCATACCATTCAATTCACTTTATTCTGCGCAGGCACCAGTTAATGAATGTCTGTAATTTATTAGTAACTGCATTAATTGTTCTCTCTGTTTCCACTCCATACAAATGTACTGATTTGGCATGAGAAATACAAATTTTAAGTTTAGTATTTCTTTTAATTTCTTTTGACATCCACTAATTCCCTAGTGCTATGAAAACTCCTCTTGCCTTTTGTATTCTTATTTTAAAAGCTGTCAGTTTCCCCATCTTTATATACATTACTGCCCAAATAGGTGTATGACTCCACGTCTTCGAGTGGGGTGCCATTAACAGAAACCACATTACACCAGTGGTCTCTATTTGGGGAAGCAGAGCGAGGAAGTTTTAAGCAGAGCGTCAAGCAATTTCCAAACTGAATATATTTATCATTGTAATAATCAGTTATTTTTTTTTAGTTAAAAAATCAAAAAGATAAAATATTTCAAAAACTATATTAAACATTAAAGCAATTACATTTTTTTGGGTGTGTTTGTGTTCATTAACAGCTTGTATGCCTACAGTTAAACATCTAGTTAATTTGATAACACAGGCATTTATAGATTAGGAACACATTCTGACAATAGCGTTATCTAAGTACTTTATGTTTCGCCTGTCGGGGAATCTATTGACCTCCTCATTTTAATCAATCACATTTTGAATCAGTCACATTTTGTTATGCTGATGGTGGGGATGGTGGGGTGGGGGTAGGGGGAAAAGGTGCGTAGGGGTCTTGCCATATACTCAAGGAGGGCGCAAGGTCTTGCCATATACTCAATGGGGGTGTAAGGGTCTTGCCATATACTCAATGGGGGTGTAAGGGTCTTGCCATATACTCAATGGGGGTGTAAGGGTCTTGCCATATACTTAAGGGGGTGCGAGGGAGAGGGAGGGGTGCTGAAAAGGTTAAAGGCAACTTATATACACAGATTAAAAAGGGCCACTATGCTCGTGCTGTCCTGGGAAAGTGCCCAGTGAGCCCATACATCAAGACAGGCCTGCCTCTAATAGCTAAATGGCCCCTCGCAAAGCTGCTAAATGAACGAGATATGTTTACTAAAGATGATTTGTGTTGAAAACACCGGTTTAGCTTTGACAACGTCCCACGGTATGTCATTACCAAAACAAGCCTTTGGCTGTTATCTCTCTTCCTCAACATTTTCCTACAACGTTATCTCTCGAATCTGTGTCGATCGGTGAAAAAGATTCATCTCAGGTTGGTACGAAGGTAATCTAATCACTAATGTCCTCAGCATTGTCACGTGTCTGGATGTTACAGGATATGCTAGCTTATAAAGATTGGTTTGTGTCAATTCACACCCACTTTAGCAGAAGGTCCGCTATATTTTAGTGATATTAATTATTTTTTAAAATACATATTTCGTTTCATTAAAACATTCCGAAAAATGGAAAGGTATTATTTAGTGATAGCTCTGCTCTGTGTTGTTGCTGCCGCTGAGGTTCTTGAAGACAAAAAGGAACAGTGTCTGTGTGAAGAAACCTCTACACTTTCTCTAACAGTATACAAGTAAGCACAAATACATTACAATATCTTGAAGTAGGGGGCTGAGTGGTCTCGAGATATGGCATTCGTCTTGAGTGCTGCAGGTTTGGGTTCCAACCCCGGTGAAGGTTGGGATTTTTTCAGGTGGACTTCAAGTAATTTCCCTGGTCTCTGGTAAGACCGGACGCCCGTGTGTATTGTTGCGCACGAAAACAAAATACCCTGGCAGTTGAAAATCGAAAAAGAGGAGCCTAACCACATTGCCTGGGCAAAATTAGGAGTTAAAAATCTACACAAAGTGTGCTATTGTGCTGATCCGTTGAATAAACAAACAAACAATCCAGAGGTAATTTGCAGATACATTGGTTTTATACAGACACAAATTAAAAGAAACCCCTTGGTAGTTACCGAGAGCCTACGTGGTAAAGCGGTTTAATTCTCGTCTGCTGATCTGAAGGTCGTTGGTTTAGGTCATGAGGGAGCCGGACTTTTTTTGCAATAATCACTTTGACTCCCAGGAAGACTCAACCTTTTATATGTACCAGGTAAAGTCATGGAAGTGAAAGAGGCCGGCGTGATGATGACCATATCACCCCCAAGTGCCGATTGGTCTATAAAATATAGGTCTAGCTCCATATGTACCATTCGCCTAAAGTTGCGGAAAAGGGTCCTTTATTTACTAGCGAGGGTGAAGGTGTTACGTGTATGTGTGTGTGTATTCTGCGCGAGCACGTGTATGTGTGTGTGTGTATTCTGCGCGAGCACGTGTATGCGAGAAAAAGAAAAAAAAATATCACTTCTTGTTAACTAAACTACGAATTACAAGGTTGGCTAATTCGCTTCTTCTATAGTGCTAGGAAATATATCTTATACAGGCATACACCTTTGATAAACTCACACACCAGCTCCTAAATATCAACATTTGCCCCATACTCATTAACTGGATAGTAGCAGCACTCTTCAAGAGTTTCGTCGCCCAGCTTCTGAGTTGAGTGCATGGCGTGACACTGTGAGTTACGTGTATTTTTCGTTGGCACAGGAGCGGAGCAACTATGGGGTGACCCGTTTGCTATGAAGCTGGAAACTAGGATTACTAGATTACTCTTCAAGAGACATGTTGCTTTCAAATGTGGAAGATGGATATCTGAGTTAAAAACTACACACATAGGATTGCCTCAGGGATCACCTTTATCTCCAGTCTTTTTCAATATTTTCACTAAAGAGGTAGCAAATTATCAAATCCCAGGTGAAGAAAGACCACTCTCATTCGCAGATGACATACCAGTGTACCGTCAAGGCAAGAATTGTAGAAGAACTCAACAAGGAACTAGGATGCCTAACAGATTGGTGTCAAACTTCTGGAGCACAGATCAAAGCTACAAAAGCAACTTCAACTCGGGTTTCTTTGAACAATCGCATTGAACACATACTAACGTCCTCTGTGCATTTGAATGGTGAAGACATAGCAAGTATTGGATTTTAAAATACATGGAAGTGATTTTGATCGAAGCTTTAGCAGCAGATTCCAAGCTAATACTATGATCAACAAGCCAGAAAGGGCTTGGCTGCAGTGCGAATTATAGCTGCCATATGTGGTCAACAAATGCTGTTAGTAATCCTCTGTCGGGGTTTTATCTTCTCTGTCAGTAAATATTCCCTGGCAATCCTCACGCTCAGCAAGTAAAAAATCGAAAGCCTGGAAAAGGTACAAAACAAAGCAATGCGTATCATTCTTAGCTACACCAAAGACACATTATGTAGGGCAATGAAGTACCTACTAGATCTTCTAGACATACACAGTGGGCTTGAAATGCGCCAAGCGTGTGTCTACCTCAAAATCACCAAGGTCTTCACGTATCAACCGAACGATGGATTAAATACACGTAAAGGCAACATACTTAAATCGAGGCCAGTTGGGCCGTGAAGAGAAAGTATTTCAACAGGTGATTTCCCATCACGACATAAACTGGAGAGAAATGGATATCCATATCAAACGAAAAAAAGCAGTACTTTGTTGGTGGTTATCACCCTGACAAGACAATGCCGTGATGTGGCACCACCGATAGTTGATGCAGAAGTAAAAGCATTGGTGGAGGAACACGGAAGATGCTGTTACATAGATGGTTCTGTTATTCGTCAGAAGCAAAGTACGTGGGCTTTCACGACAAGAACCAAAGAGAAAGCCATAAAGAAGACAGTAGAGCCTTTGCTTCTACCACCAGCAACACGACAATGAAGGTCTTGACTGTGACAAAGACCCAGAATGGCTGAAAATCAGGAATTCACTAATGCATGCTTTCACAGCGACACAATGAGCATGCTACAGAAGATCAAGGCGGGGCATATAGGAAAACAGTGGTTCCATCTGATTCAGCACGCAGAGTTTCGCAAAATCACATTCATTTTTGTCCCAGGGGATGCTGGTGGGAAAGGAAATGAGAGAGTAGACGCCCTTGCTAGCGACAATCAGTAATGGGCCATCTATGGACAAGGAGAGACATCATCATGCCATACGAAAGACTAAACGTTGTGTGGCATTGAGTTTCGTGGAAAATGATTTTTCATTGAATAGACTAAATACCATTAATGTACAAATTGGAGCCGAGAGACAGGAAACCCGCACCCTCGTTACACCAGCCAGAACAGAATGGGAGTAGTTAGCATAAAAATACTTAGAGACATACTCGGTGGAGTTAGGAGCACTTATGGTCATGTCCGATTGTGCGATCAAGATGATCTTCAAATGAAACATCTGTTGTCGAAGAAGCTCTGCTGCAAGGTGGTGGAGGTGTAGTGGTGTGGGGAATGATCAGTTACAACGGAAGAGGCTAATTGATGCACATTAAAGGAAGCTTGAGTGCTCAACAACATGTCAATGAAATTCTTCGACATGTCCTTCCATATCTTTTTCAACAGGACAAGGACAGACCTTATTCTACACGGTTGACAACGCAGTTCTGGGCTGCCAATAATATTTAAACCCTTCCCTTGCTATGACTATCTGCAGACATGAGTCCGATTAAGCATCTGCAAAGACGGGTTTGTCGCCAAGACGTTCCTCAAGCCAATGGTCATGATCTGTTTCAGGCACTCCAGGAAGAGTGGGCAGCCATTCCACAGGCCCGCATCACACATCTTATCGCATCTATACCCATGGGATGCCAGTCACTGACCCACGCAAAAAAGAAGCCACACACCATACTAACGGGAAAGGCCGTACGCCTGAAAATTATCCTGACCCAGTTAAAAAAAAAAAAAAACCTGCGTTGATTGATTGTTTGAACCCTCAGGTATTCTTGCGTACAATTTAAGCTGAATTTTTTCACTGAATGCTTTACAGGGATGCAGAACGTCAAAATTGTGAGTATGTATGTTCCTTTCAGTAGCAATGCGTTTCTTTGATTTCACATTATATATATATATATATATCATTTGATTGTTACTTCCCACAGAGAACGTCTCAGTGGATGTGGACTGCTGGCATTAAATGGTTGCAAGGTGACGATTGTAAGTATCTTCCTAATGCACTATGACTACTGCATTAAAAAAAGTTATTGATAAGTTCCTCTGACAATGTTCTTCTTTAAAACAGAAGTTATGTAGTACCGGCTACCGTTATGCGGGAGCTCAGGCATATCTTACCAGGACCTGACATGTGAACATGTGAAAGCAACTAGAAACAAAGGGAGAGGGAGATTAGGGAAGGGGGGGGGGGGGGGGGTTAAATAGATGGACGCAAAAAAATAATAGGCCCCCACCCCCCCCCCCCCCCCCCAAAAAAAAAAATTGAATCGTATACTATATACACTACTATAAACATTAAATTTTCAATGAATTTAGCGGTAATAAAATAAGTTAAAGCAGTGCCATAGTAAAGTAAAGTAAAGATCCCTTTACACGCCCTTAGGCGCATCGGGCATATGGGAAGAGCAGCCATAATTTTACTGACCAATCGGCACTCGGTGGGTAATGTGGTCAGCATTACGCCGGCCGTCTTTACTTTCCCAGGACAGCCCATCCTGGTACCCATTTGAGGCTGGGTCGACCTGCGACGTCCCATACCACGATAAAAATCCACGCAGACACGCAGGTTTCGATCGCGGTACGTTGGATTACGAGTCGGACTCGCAACGCCTTAGCCACGGACGCCGCTAAAGCAGTGCCATAGTCTTGCTTAAATAATTTAGTTCCAAACGGTTGCCTTGACCACACATAGTCTGATATGGAGGTTATGACAGTGACCACAGTTATCACATAGATGGAGACATGCTTTGTCAGTGACTCAGTAAGTATGTACAGGAAGATAGAGAAGAGCTGGATCCAAAGACAGTGGTTGGAGTCTCTAAAGCGGTCGGGGCTAACATATGTTAATTTCATATTTGTGCCAGGACACGCAGGCGTGCAAGCAAATGATCAAGCTGATCAGCTTGCAGCCAAAGTTACTGCTGAGGTCGGACAAACCATGGATCATGTTGATATTCTGAATGCTCTTCGAGAAGTAAGACGTTTGGAGAACCATGTGATGACTGTGAATCTGCTACCCTGACCAGACTACAAGATGTTAAAGGGGGTGTGTGGCCAGACAAGAGCACTAGGCGGAGAGCCAAAGAAGAATAAGAAACCAACAAATAACTGGTGTCGTGAGCTGCTACACGCTGCGGGATCTACTAAGGAGGTGATCCGAGCACTTATGGACTGAACATCTCGATGTGCAACGGCGATAATCTGTCGACTAACTGTGTTCCAAGCAACTCATGGCAAGTTTGTTTGTTGAAACTGACTTGATTTTCTGAATTGAGTTTTCTGTGACCGAGCTATGTGTTACATTAACCGTCGCTGTCCCAGTTCTTGTTTCAGCTCTTCTGTCCCATAAAGTTATTTAACTACTCAGACCGAAACAATTACTTAAATTAACAGTGTTAAAATAAAATCAGTTAAAGTATCATGTGACTGGGGATTAAGGAGTAAAAGTGGTAGTGTGTTAATTTGTATACTTCAATAGTTTCTGTGAGGTTTCTGGCACCCTGACTGTGTAAACAAAAATATTAGCTACCTACTATCCCCATGCGGCGTCCGTGGCTAAGGCGTTGCGAGTCCGACTCGTAAGCCAGCATACCGCGATCGAAACCCACTGCTGGCTGCGCGGACTTTTGTCGTGGTATGGGGACGTCGCAGGTCGAATCAGCCTAAAATGGGTACCAGGATGGCTGTCCTGGGAAAGTAAAGACAGCCGGCGTAATGCTAACCACATTACCCACAGAGTGCTGATGGTCTGTAACAACATGGGACGCTCTGCTTATAGATAGCCCGATGCGCCGAAAGGCGTGAAAAAGGGAACTTTACTTACTATCCCCATGACAAGCATGTCCTGAAAAGAGACTAATTAGGTTTTGCTGAAATAATTGGACCGAAATGCGTAGAAATCGCAGTCCATGTACCACAGCACAATGTCCCACCCCTCCTAAGTAAGGGCTAACGCAGAGGGAGACGTAGAATACATGAAATGTTAATAAAGTAAAACTATGTTAACACGAACTCGCCTAAAAGGAACACTCAGGTAGCATGAAACAAATCTTGATCCCAGCAGGGATGTATGTATTATTAGTCTCCAGTTTGCACGAGTTTTTTTTTTAAATTTTAAATTCATATTTTTTTCGGCCTCTTCAAATTTGTATTAACGAGGTTATACTGTAACATTTAAGTAACGTTAAGGACATCATAAGCAAGTAAAATTAGCATTACGTTTCTAAAGGTGGCAGACACATCCCTCCTCCACCCAGCTCCCACATTCTTTTTCCTCCACCGTCTACCGCCTCTGTCCCCCTTTAAGGATTGCAGCCTGAAGATTGATACACAGTGGCCCGATGTATCACTACCCAGATGCCAGTCTAACAGGAGCAGTTCTCAGAAACCCAGTTCAGCCGTTTACATCAGTTACATTGCTGCACTCTGTGGTTACCAAGTAACCTGATGCCAAAAGCGGGTGGGTACCCAAGAAAACAGACATATCGTTTGCGGTAGTAATTAAGTAGAAACAGTTCTTCATCATAAAAGCAACGTGTATGTGCCACGGGTATATCTAGATATTAAAATTTTTCAGAAAATCGTACTGAAGTTAACAACAACAACAACACCACGAACAATAACCACACCACCACCACCACCACCACCAACAACAACACAACAACAACAACCACCATCACCACCACCTACAACAACAACACAACAACAACAATAATTTTAACATCAACAGTTTAAAAACAAATGAAAGGAAAAAAATGTTTAAAGAATGCAACAGTAATGTTTCACAGTTATAATCAACCTTTCTGAATGTCATTTTTTGTTTTTTGTTTGCTGCACTGCATGTTGTTTGTTCAGACATTGTTACTGATTGTATTTGATTACAGACGTGTCAATCAAATTTTTCTCTAACCCTGGACAGCGATAAGAGTGTGGATTTGGACTGTTTGGACAATACTACAACTGATCTATTAATCTCAGATAAAAGGTAACACACACACACACACACACACACACACACACACACACATACACACACACACACACACACACATATATATATATATACATCCCGTAACTCGGATATAAAGTGGCTATTGTATTTGCAGATTCTGGATATTTTCCCCCGTGTCCTTCAAACAATTAATCGTTCAAATTCCGCTAGTGCTAAAATGAGTCTGATCGTTATTGCATGTCCGTTGAGTGTTGAGATTTGAAGCTGGGCGGATTCGCTGGCCATTTCCTGCTGCATTGTTCTCTCAAAACCACAATGATCTATCTATTTACACTACAGTTTGTTAAAATGCGTCTACATCTTGAAATGCTAGTAAAAATATTTCTAAAGAGCCTTGACCCCATCTGATTTGTCCTGTATCAATTCTTCTCGGGTTATATTCAATAAAATAAATCAGTTTTGACGACGCTAGCATTTAAAGAAGTTTGACCTGAAACCACATTTATTGTTTAAGCAATCGCACAAAGTCGGCGTCTATGGCTCAAGTGTTGTGACCGCACTTCGTAACGCTAACTTTTTAATCAGACAAAATAGATTTTGTCTTCACTGATTTATATACAAACCATTTTCGGCGAAATCACTTACACTATTAATAATGCGATCTCCCTCTCCTCAATCACACAAAGAGAATATGAACATAGACCACAAACTAGAACCAGCGAGGATCCATAAGTATGTAAAAGACAGTTACACATGCTACTCGTAAATCTTCTTTTGTCAGTTGTTTCATTGATTTTTAGTTTAGTTTGAGCAGTTTGTTTACTCGATTGACCAAGTTTTTGTTAAAAAATTCCAAATATGTGATGTATTTTATAGCAAGCATGCAAATCCTCTTAGGTTTTGTCCCGAAACTTACAATAGAGAGTTTAAAAAACAGTTAGGGGAAAGCCAGGTGAAAGTCCCGTATTTTAATATACAAATTAACATATAACGGTTGTTGTGGTCTGCATGATACGGGCCACCTTTTCTACAAAATTTCCTGGTACCAATTTTGATTTGGGTCGAACTGGAAGCCTATGTTTGCCGCGATGGAAATTCAAACCATCAATTCAAGCCTAGTAACCATAGTGCTACTACGGCTTTTTGACCATACATTTTCTGCATGTGTTTCCGAACTCCTAAAAGATGTAAGGTGACAAATTAAGGGTTTACTGAAAACGGATGTATTGGGTAGAAAGGAAGGATATAGCAGCCTAGCTGTAAACATCAACGCACGTACCAACCACCCATTTACGCGCGAACTCAGAAGACGCACATTACAGTTTGAAATATATAGTGAGCTGGCTACAACATATTTTCACAATTATATAATTTCAGCTCAGTTCAAATAATTTTACAGTGCTCAGAGGAAACGGCAGCGTCCTTAGATGAAGAATCAAATGTAAGTTAACGAGATCCTTGTTATTGCCAGTTACATAATAATGAAATGATATTTCACTGTCTGTTTCTGAAGATCAATTCTTCATTTACACAGTTGACGTTTGTGGCTTAGGCGTTGCGAACGAGCCTCGTAATGACATGGTGTTGGGTTTGATCTCAGCTGCGAAGGGCTTGTCTTGCACTGGTTTCAACAGTGGTACCGAGAGCTGACCGTTTAGGAAACAAAGTGGCAAAACTACTGAACGTAAAATTTGCCTAGAAAATCCACGAAAACCAAAATATGCTGGGGCTGGTTCTGCAACATAATTACAGTTACTTCGAATGAGCTGACAACACAGAACTTCCATCAACATCGCGTACTGGAATTGGGAAAGAAAATCAGCGCAAGAGCAAAGTGGAAAACATTTTTTTTTTCATCTCAGTGTGACGAAAGCTAAATAATGGTAATTGACAAAACAAATTTATCGATAGGAAAAAAAATTACACATCACTGACTGATGTAGATATGTTTTTTCTTTGATAATTATTTGATATAATTCAAAGGTGGAATCTTTGAATTGGGTAGAATAATTACAAATAATATAGTACTATTTATTAACCATTTCACCACCACAAACAATTTGCTTTTACAGTGACTGACAGTATTAGTAAATGCCTTTACAGGTGGTAAAATATCGGTCCACTTTTTAACAACTGGAAATTTCATTACTAGGTTCCAGTGCTGAGAATATCTCAAGTCTGCTCGAATAATTCAAACGGAACTAGTCTCACTACCACAAGCTCCGGGCCATCAGATACAACCCAAAAAGGTACAACAAAAAACAACAATAATGCTACAACTGAAAGCCCAGTAACCTCATCCGCGGCCAACAGTTCTACAGAAGTCCCATCCAACAGTTCTACAGTAACTCCCGATCACTCAAGCTACTCCAATACAACAGGAACATCGAACTCATCGTATACCGCCACGGAAGGAACACCAAGCGGAAACAGCACACAGGAGCTGACGACAACGACACAACATGCTGTTAGGTTTGTCATCTTGTCTGTCTCCTTCTCTCTCTCTCTCTCTCTCTCTCTCTCTCTCTCTCTCTCTCTCTCTCTCTCTCTCTCTCTCTCTGTGTGTGTGTGTGTATGTATGTGCGTGTCTAAAATTTCACAAGGAAAAGTCAAAGATAATGAGAATAAGCCAGACAAACAGCATTTCGATTTCACTTGGTGATATCCCATTTCGAATATAAATGCCACAGACGCATTTTACAAATTAGTTATTCAGAACACAGAACTAATAAATATGTCTGAGACAAAATATACACATTTGAGGGACATCAGGCGCCTTTCTTGGTAGTGGTGAAACGTGGCAAGCTAGCTTGGTTTGGGCACGTGGTGAGACATGATTCGATTCCAATGACTAGACTTCAAGGAACATTTGGAGGTACGTTATCCCATTCCAGGATGTGGAGTCATGTGTAGATAGTAATGTAGGCGAAGATGGCGGATCTGGATAGAGATATTTAAAAAAGATTCAAAAGGCAAGAGGAGTGTTTAGAGCAATAGGAAATTTGTGGAAGTCACACTACACATTTCAATTTAATGTCAAATCAATACTGCTGTATGGAGTTAAATATTTGGAAAACCTGAAACAATTATTAACAGACTAAAAATATTAATTTTTATCGATATTGTTAAATGAACTTTATTGATCAAATCCAACTGATGTGTTTGAAGAGTGTTTAGAAGAGCCGAATGTAAGACCAGCCTTTGTGCCCAATCTGTGACTGTTTGAAAATACCATCAACCGAGATGTGTGAATAGACACCAGCGCTTACACAGGCGACAAAACACTTAATGATAATGATTTCATTACACATTTGTAGCACTGAAAGCATTCTTAAGACGGTATGTTTTGTGGGAGGGGGGGGGGGGGGATTTTTTAAAATTAACTAACGGATTTCGTGTTTTATCCATTCATTTACAGCTTCAGAGCCTGTTCCGGACTTCTGGTTTTGACGTTAGCTGTAAGCAGTTTACTGTAGACTGCTGGTACAAGACATTTCTACAACAATCGCTTGTGATGACGTCAGACCTGACTGAGGGTAGTGGTTCTGTTGTGGAGAATAAACTTTACTGTGAAATCCTTTTGTTTTCATTTTTCTGATGCTTTTGTTGTTGTTGTTGTTGTTGTTGTTGTTGTCGTTGTTTCGATGCTATGAAATTAGACATAGTAGCAGTGTTTTTTTACATGTACAAATGAATGTTATCTGTTGTTACATTTCTGAACTATAATTAATTGAAACAAGCAGTATCTCATTAACACGAACTACACAACCAGTGAAAGACACGGAACTACATCTAACTCCTCTCAGCGACTCGTTACACCATCAGCAGTACAATAAGAGAAAAGGAAAGGAGAATTAATAAACACTGAGTAGAATGCTGCCTTTCTGGAAAATTAATTTCTGAGTTAAATCTACAGCTATAAAGAATTAATTTGTGTACAGAAAAATAGAACTTTAATGTTAACTAGTTATATTTAACTGTGGACTTCTGCTTGTTATTTCCCAACAGAGCATAGGCCCTCCATCAACTTTCACATTGTGGTCCTATCCTTTGGTATCGCGTGCAATTTACCCCATACCTTCCCAGCTTGCTCAAATCGCTCTCTAATTTTGTTCTCCAAGTCCTTTGAGGTCTACCTTTCTTACTCTGACCCAGTGGGTTCCAATACAAAGACACCCCAGTTATATTTTACAAGGTTTTATCGATTCAGCTTGTCGACGACTGTTTAATTGCTTGTCACTTCAGAAGTAAATCACTACTTAAACAAAGCCATGGTGTTTTCACCATGTTTTGTTTTCAGTCCTAATCTTGGCACATTTTAAGTTGTAGCATGGAGTTGAACAATAAAATACCAAGTCTCGCTAACTTATAAAGAAAGTTGCCATTGTACTTTGATGCAAACAACCACGTCTACTCACACTCTTCATCTGCTCCTCCTGCTTTTGTTGCTGCTGTTTTTACTGCTGCTGCTACTATAGCAGCAGCAGCAGCAGCAACAACAACAAGTAGAACTGCATCACGCCCTTCTCTAATTATTCAGTCCTGACAACTGAATCACGGTACATTTTGGAGGAGCCCCCCTCGAAATTAGGTTACTGGGAGCGTTTCCATGTTGCATTGTGTGACATATTAATATGCTTACAAAGTCCTGTGTTCTAAACGTATTCGTATTACAAATCTGCAAAAAAGATATTGTGAAGTGGATATACAGCAATTTTAATTTTATTTTTATAATTTTAATTTTAATTTTAATTCACGGAAGACAGTCGTGTTGTGATTGTGTGTGTCAGTGTCACTGTTTCTAGTCAGTAGTTCGGATTTTTGGGAACTGGCTGTTTATTACTTTTCTACTTTAAATGTAGAAATCTTACTTTTAGGGATAATACAAACAGGTAATTCAGAAGCCATATCTGGAGAATATCGACAGTTGTCAGGTGCAAACTATCTTGTGTTTGAAGAAAACTATTGCTTTCATATTGACTGTGCATAAATGGTGCAACCACACTGTGAATAAATTGTGTCAAGATATTTCGGAGCTCTAGGTAAGTGGATGAAAATAATATTCAATTTACTAACTAACCTCTCACAGCAAGTCACTCTTTGCCTTTTACTAATTGTTGACTAACAGTATAATTATATGTTGTAGCAGTACACTAATAATATTATTCCTTAACCATTTGACTTATGCTTCGCGAACACTGGCTGTAAACTCTTGCGGAAACTTCTGGTAGTTCATCGACTTCTTTTGCATATTTGCAGTTGTACGGTCTGTTAATTTTTGTGAACTGGCTTTTGCTTTGCTTCGCGAACAGTGGCTGTAAACTCTTGCGGAAACTTCTGGTAGTTCATCCATTTCTTTTGCATATTTGCAGTTCTACGGTCTGTTAATTTTTGTAAACTGGCTTTTGCTTTGCTTCGCGAACACTGGCTGTAAACTCTGGAGCTGGCCGTGAACTTCATTTACAACTACTACAATGACTGCTATTTCTATTGCGGATGCTGCTGCTACTACATTTGAAAAAACAAAATCCATCTTTTTCTCGCATGTTGTCTCAGATTATGGTTGATAGTAAAATATTTGTCGGCGTCAGTAGCTTAGACTTGCGAACGCGCTTTATAATGCCGTGTGCCGGGCTCGATCCCAGCTACGGGCCTTGCACCTTGCGATGGTTTCGACTTTGGTATCGAGAAGCTGACCGTCCAGGAAGCAATGGCAAACTACTTGACCTAAATTTGCCTAGAAAAACCACAACAGCCTAAAAAATGCTAGGGTTGTTTTTGCGATGTCATGAAAAGGATACGCAACTAACTTTTTTTTAGTACACTATTTATGGTAGATTCATGGGAACAAGTTTTCCTGTTGGAAGTGGCAAATCAGCAAGGAAAAAGAATGAATAAAAATCATTACTGAAGAAATAATGAGCGTCTGAGAAGAAACAGACTAAATACATGTGATGGCAACATCCGTCCTGAAATCCTATTCTCTGATTGTGGAAGACTTTACTGAACGCGAGAGGGTCTGGCTAGTCGCATTACTCGCTGTCGCCATGGGCTGTGCGTCCCATGCCTTCTCATAATACAACACTCGTCTAGAAAGATGGAAAAGTGGGATCTCGAGTGCATTATAATATATTCAGTTGATTGGGCTAAAGAATGACGTGTAATCACACATATTAAACACACACCTATGTGAAACACCTATGTCAAAGTGTGCATTTGAATGAACATCTTTAGCACTCAGAGTTGACAGAGTCCTATCATTCCCATATAACATCTACTCACTGAAGATATGCTAGTTCATCCTCAACACCCTATGAGCTGCCTTTAGCTTTACACTTATATACAGTGGATATGAACTTTGGCTTTGAGGTCGATTCACTCTAAAATGGGTACCGGGTCATGTCATGGTCGCAAAGGCGGCCGGCCTGATGTTACCACATCGCCCATTGAGTACTGACGTCTAGAAGAACGTGAGCCTAGCGTCTTATGCTCAGTGCGACACTAGCAGAAATGGCTCATTAGCATTCTTTCTATACGTATAATGCGGGTATCGAACAAGCCAGTGGCTTCTATGAAACTCACCAGGCGTAAATAACAAAAGCCGCTTTTTTTTCCTTCCCTTCCTGGCTTAAATTGGTTCATTAATTCCTGGAGATCCTGTTCTCTTTCAGCTAACAAATATGTACCATCTGTGTACAGTGCATTCATTTTATTTTTTTCTAATAAACTGAGCCTCTTTATCTCGTTTTGAACACCAAATTGGGGTAGGGATGGATAAAATCCTGTGCCACACCTCTGGTTTTATATATACACACAAAAGCCTTTAGTTAATCTCGGGTATTGCCATAGACATTTTTTAAAATCTTGGTATTGAAAGTTGTCGAGGATTACCCTATCGAGTGGAAGCCACTGTGGTGTAGCGAATAGACTCTCGTCTGCGGATCCAAAGGTCGTGAGTATAAATTCGCAGGCTGCTGGATTTAAAAAAAAAAACATAACCTTGGCTCCCACGTTGTCCCAACCCTAAACCTGGGAATTAAAGACGTGATGTTGGCCACATCACCCATCATTAACCTTAAAAAATATCAGTTAAGCCAGTGACTCACTGAGCCACTTGCGAAGGGCCCTTACTTATACTTTACTCTCTATCGAGTACCTTTTCATTGTCCACGCGCGATTATAAATACCTTGTGGTTTTATTTGCTGGCGAAAGTTTAAAAAAAAATGTTTATTCTAGAGCTGTACCGAATATTCGCTTCGTATTCTCTTCGGGGCCGAATAGTGGACCTACTGACTATTCGGTATTCGAACGAATAGTTGTGGTCGGGCCGAATACGAATAGTAGTTACCTTACATCCGCTTCTGCATTCACAGCTTAATGCTGACAACATGGAACGATTGGTTTTGTTGAAAGCTAATGCAGCTTTCCTGCAATAACTAAGCTGTCAGTGACAATTTCCAAGTTTAGTTACTTATTATAATACTTAGGATTCTTTCAATCCTAGTTATTAGCTACCACAGACTGACTGAAGGATGCAAAACATAAAATGTTTTTAAATGTTTACTATTCTGTGCAAATACTAACTAGACATGGAAAGAATATAAACTCCGGCCATATACAAGTTGATAATATGAAAATCAAACGAGAAGAAATACAATCTGAAATACAACCTAGAAATAAAGTTTACTATGCCCTTTAACATCTGCTAAAGTCAAAGTGTCTGTCTCGCAACACTAAGATCAAAATACATAAAACGTTGAAAAGACCAGTCGTTTTATTTGGCTCTGAAACTTGAAGCAGAAATGAAAGAGATAAGGCCTTATTACAGGTTTTCGAAAACAGTTTTAGGACAAATTTTTTTACCCATCAAAGATGCTAACAGCGGGGAATGGAGAGTCAGAAGCAACAACGTAACACATAATCTTTTTAAATCACCATTGATCACTGGCATCATGAGAGCTAACACACTAAAATGGTTGGGGCATATTAAAAGAATGTCAGATGACAGAGAAGTAAAAACTGTATACACATGAGGGAGGACTGGGCGTAGACCACGAGGCAGACAAAAAAAAAAAAAAATAGAGATAATGTCCAGCCAGACCTGCAAACAACTGGTGTCACAAATTGTGAAGATAAGGCCAGCCAGAAAGATGAATGGAGACGAATGATATCTGCAGCAGTAAACCTCAAGGGCTCAGAATGCTAAAGAAGAAGATGATATTCTGTGCTACTTTATGTGAAGTAAAAGTTCAGCGTACATTGGATATTATAAATGTGTGTTTTTTTAAGATATATTTTATACACTATACACTATTCGTATTCAGCCGAATAGTTGGTCCCGCTATTCGTATTCGGCCGAATAGTGAAAATTACTATTCTTTACAGCCCTAGTTTCCAGGACTATACCTTTTCAGCTACATTGTGTGCAGATGTTTAGGGAGGCAATCTAAATAGCTCATGGTTGCGTTGAAATGG